CTTAAAAACACATACGTTTCGACCTATTTATCATCCTCAGTGTATACATGTTGATAAATTAACGCAAAATTTAATAAAAATCATAAAACGGTTAAATATAATTTCTGCAAATTATAGTTACGCAAAGTAGTGGACCTTTCTTCATATCTATTTTCAGTCGCAACAATGCAATAATGCTTTCAATCTTATCATCTTTGTAGTTACATTCTTTTATTACATCGGTCGCAATTTATCCGTAACGATAATAAAATTAGTTGAACATGTAGCGTCATTCTGTAACAATGCAATGCTTTCAATCTTATCATCTTCGTAGTTACAATCTTCTATTACATCGGTTGCAATTTGTCCGTAATGATAATAAAATTAGTTGAACATGTAGATCATTCCGTAAAATTGTGCAAGCACACATTCTCAATGTGAAGGTTTAGCCAGAATAATCCAGTGATTGAAACAATACATCAAATTAATTAATGTAACAGAGGCAAATGCGATTAGAGTTAAGAAAATTAAAAACAGTTCCATTAGAAATTACTGTTTTCAATTTTCTTAACTCTAATTGCATTTGCCTCTGTTACATTAATTTGACGTATTATTTCAATCACTGGATTATTCTGGCTAAACCTTCACATTGAAAATGTGTGCTTGCACAATTTTACGGAATGATCTACATGTTCAACTAATTTTATTATCATTACGGACAAATTGCAACCGATGTAATAGAAGATTGTAACAAAGATGATAAGATTGAAAGCATTGCATTGTTGCGACTGAAAATATTATAGATACGAAAAAATAGGTTCACTACTTCGCATAACTATAATTTACAGAAATTGTATTTAATCATTTTACATGTATACATTGAGGATAACCTTTTTTTTATGTATGGGAAATGCCTAACGAAATACCTCGGGGGAAAGCCTGGGGTTATGTGGGGTTTGCACCCACTAAAATCCCTCCGAGTGTCCTACTCCGATTCTGACCGGAGGTCTCCAGGAACGCGTGCAGCATACTTCCGGAGATCCCCTCTCCCCCCGAGATCCGTCGACTTCGGGTCGGCCCTATCTCGCCGAGAACTTTGCCGTTCCCAGCTGTCGGGTGACCACCCGACGAGCGGAGTAGAGAACACCCATCCACTCCGCTCCGCCTCGTTGATGTTAGAGGGCCCGAGTTGGGTCTCTCAGCAGACTGTCCCAACCCCTTCCGCCGTGTCAGCATGCATTATGCCAGGCGAAACTTCACTCCTTCAGGAGTCCGCCAGCTTTTTGTTGACCGACTGTTCCTTCTCACACTGAGGATGACCTGACAAATAGATCGAAACGTATGTGTTTTTAAGAATTTAAATATACGAAAAATTTGACTCTTAGTCCTTCTGTTATTTATTTTTGTTTATTATTATTGAGCCATTATAAATTTATCTTTATTTAGAAACTATAATGTCTTGATTTTTAAAAACCAAGATATTTATGAATGACGTTTCGTAAATCACTCACAGCAATTATAAAAAAAATTATACAAAATATTTACAATGTTATACAAATATTTACAATAATGTATTTTTTTTAAATTTACTGCGAGAAATGCTTCAAAATTATATACTATTAAGATAAAAAATTGCTAATTAGAACAAAATGGTAATTAGAACATAATATTTTAGTGAAAAAATATATTATTAATAAGAGCAATTAATATGCAAAACAGATTCGATGAAATGAATTAAATAATTCAAAAATCAAGAAATTCAAGATCTGACAAGAATTCAAGAAGAAATGCAGAAACAGATAAAAAGAATTAATACATATCTTAAAAGTATAAGATTGAAGTTTTTTTATGTTAAAAATGCTTTAAAAAATATGATAAAAGTTTTATTTTGTCATTTTCCATTATAATTTTTTATTGTATATTTTTCATAACTTATAACTTTTCATTTCTAATTAATAAATTATATTTCTTCTTTGTTTTTATTCAATATTCTTTTCAGGCTTTAATCAGAGAAAAATCAGGGAAAATTTTTTTCTATTTCGCTAACAAATCCTATATTAATACAAATAAATTTTGTGTAGAAAAGAGAAGTACCGGATTACTTGTGCGGCAAGATTAGTTTCGAAATCCTGCAGGAACCAGTAATTACGCCTAGTGGAATTACATACGAACGGAAGGACATCGAGGAACATCTCCAACGAGTTGGCCACTTCGATCCAGTCACGCGAGTACGTTTGACGCAAGATCAGCTAATCCCAAACTTGGCGATGAAAGAAGTAGTTGATACCTTCCTACAGGATAATGAATGGGCCTTACATTACTAATGCCGATACGTAGCTTACTGCCATAGGTTTAAGTTAAGGTGGTGGCGATTTTTAACAACAGAGGAAGATAATACATGTTTTGATTGAAGAGATTTAGAGGATACATCTAAAAGAAAAATCTCAAGAGAAAATGTAAAATAGACTGTACATGTAAAGAATTAAGTATCTTGTTACCGTAAATATTTTTACACGCCATATGAGACGTGGAAGCTATTGTTATTGAAGTAGCTATTGTAAGTAATACTAATAAATAGTTAACGATGATAAGGATCATGTAAACACGTACAGGTTATATATATATATAATTCTATAAGTGCTACATATATACAATTATTATTATTAATTACATATATAGAATTTATTAATTTATCTATCGATCAATAATCTCTGATTTACAAAGACAAAATTTTCATAATGGTTGCGTATAATAAAAACGTGAAATCGAAATTTTAAGGAGTTAAACGAAAGCTCAAGAATTGAGTGAAAGTTTCAACATAATGGCTCAAAAAAAAAATATAGAATAGTAAGCACTATATAGCATCTGTAATTCTTTGTTTTACTATAAATAAATTATTTATTTTATCACCAAAATCTCACGTTTTTACCATAATATTGCACGCTAGAGGAAAGTAATTTTAATTATTTTACGATAATTTCTCAAATATCTAGTGAAGAGAGATCTGAATCCACTCAAGGTATTTATTTTAACATTCAACTGACAACAATATATTGATGTGTATATATATATATATATATATATATATGTACAGTTTTACGCAATATTATTGTATATATGTATCGCAATCGTCGCAATTATATGTAATAATAATTACTACCGTCCGCCGTCGGTGTATTGTTATTGCGCAAGCTACATCGACAATATATGATTAACAAAAGTGCAATAGGATAGATCACTCTTTTTGTAGCTCCAGTTATAGCAGCCACGACGACAATAAACTGCTGCAACATTTTCTCCTCTTAATATATTTTTTTAGATTTACTCTTTTCTGTCTATTTCTACCATAATAATTAACTTTAATTTTGATTTAATTTACTCTTTATCTTCTTTTAATTTTTACAACTGGAAGATAAAAAATAATTTAAATCAAAAAGTTAAAATTAATCTATATTGGTAAAATGGATGTTAATGAAATTAAATTTGAGATTGTCGATTGTATTTTAAAAATTAAAACATTAGAATTTAGAGATGTCGGATGAAAAATAATGGAAGATAAAAGTCAACAGTCAAAGTAAAAAAATACAGTAGCATTCATTAAAAGATAAAGAAATAATCTTCAATTCATATGAATAATACCAACATTTCTAAGAATACATTATAAAACGCATTTTTCTATTTCTAACAAAGTCTTTTTCTTTTGGGGAAGATCGAGAGAGTATAAGATAAAATGTAATAAATGATATGATATTAAGATATGTGATATATCTTTCGTCATTAATTAATCAATGACGATTTCGTCATTGCTTAATTGAGGACTACTATTATTATTAATTAGTCGCTTAACAATTGCTAATGCAGTTATCTCTTTGTTTATCTTTGCTAATATACTCGAAGAAAGGAAATTCTATTTATTGTCCGCGTTAACATTTGTACGTTTTAGGCGAATACTCCACAACTGAGTAGTATTAACTTTTTAACTCTTTGCACTAAAATATTTTAATGTATAATAAAAAGTTTTAATTGTAAATTAAACCTTATAAAATTTTGTTAATCACATTAATGCATATATAAACATATTCGATAATATGGGGGAGGGGGAGGGAGGGAGAGGGAGAGGAGGGGGAAGAGAGAGATTTATATTTATATTTTTATATTCTAATGCAAGAAATCTAATCTATATAAACATATAATGAATAATAATTAAATTCTATATAAACATATAAATATATAATTGAATATAATAAAATTTCTTGTATAAAATAATACAACTATTTTTTCTTTTAACATAGAAAGATATTTAGTGCAAAGAGTTAAATTTAAAATATCACTGAAAGATATCAGGCCATTTGAATATTGTTGCAAAAAACTGGAAGATTATGTGGAATATTCGAAAATATCTTTAATGTTCAATTTCGATCTAGATTTCAGTTTTTTTCCTTAAATCAAATACAACGAAGTATACATTATATATACATGGTGTACCTGAAATAACGTCCACTTAATTAGTGCTATTCCTAATAATAACGTCCACTTGATTAGTGCTAATAAAAAACTGAGAGTCAAAAAGTTCTCTACCATCTTGCAATTTTCGCAATATTCTTTTTATCACCGAATGAGCAAAATGCCTAAAATCGCGATGTACATGACAACTTTAAAGTATTTTTAAGAGTTCCTTAAAAAACATCTTCAAAATATTTCACAAAGAATACAGAAAGATATCTTAAAATTGTCTTATACATCAATTTTATCCATTTATTCAGCAATTTTTAGAAATTAATATCTCATTAACTATTACGAAAATTACAAAATGATAGAAGACTTTTCAACTCAGTTTTTTATTAGAAATAGCATTGTATGATTAGTGGGCGTTATTTCAGATACACCCTGGAAAATATATATATATATATATATATATATATATTTTTTTTTTTTTTATTTCACATAAGGATAGCGATCATGTAATTTTTTTCCTAGGGCGAAAATATGAAAAGTGAAAATTTTTTGTATGTGTATATATGTATGACATATACACACAAAAAAATTTTCACGTTACCGCTTTAACGAAAAAATTACATCGCTGCCCAGGTCGAAATTAAACATATATAACAGGAAATCAGAATCTTAATTGACCTACGTAAAACTAATTAGTTGATTAACCTATGGCTGGGACGATAATATCTCTTAGTCCGAAGAAACCAGTTCTTTCGGTCGAATTAATTGCCTTCCGGCTTTTCAGGCATCCTCGAGTGCGCATCACATGCTACGCACTGTTAATATTATTGTCAAGCATGATTTAGTCCAATTATTGTCATAAATTTTATCCTCTTTATGTTCATTGTTGTTACGTTATCAATCCACATAATCAATCGTGGATTCTTGGATCCTTAGATCTTTGGCAGAATCTCGTATTCTTTCGAATATTTATATCTTAAATTTATATATTTGAATTTTCTGAGAACCTTATTCGAGCTTGTCTTATGCTTTTATATACCTGAATGTCCCCATCTTTTTATTTATTTATTTGCTTTCTTGGATTTTTGACTATTTATAGGATTATTAGGTCTTTAGATCCATTGATATTCAAAATCTTCAATCTTCAAATATCCATAGATCCAAGGATCCAAATGTTTTGATCCAAGACTATCTATCTAAAACAATATTTTGGGTATATCCACCCAAGTCCACTGGACGGTTCCTACCACTAATCTTATTGAATTTGACGTTAATCGCAATCGCTAAAGAGTAAATGTTTCATTGTTAACTTGTACAATAGGCAATTTTTTTCTGCAAAAGATTATTTTTCTTTACCGTCCACGCGACGCGCGATTCGTTCGAAAAACTGTATGCAGATTGTTGACTAATATGCTTTGATATTTGCAAAGCTTCGAAAACCATTTCACATAGTTAAAAAACTCAAAATTGGAAACAAATTATATCTCTCAGGCGAAGATACATTTAAAAATGTTCTCGAATAAACATGTATACATACAAGTATTTATCGAGAATACTTCATCGGTACTAAATAGTTAAATCCAAAATCCTAAATATCTTTAATCAGAGTTTTCTTTAATAAAAAAAATTGAATTTAATAGTTAACAACTATTAAAGATGATCAAAAAAAAAGAAGAAATAAAATTAATCTTCTATGAATGTATCTCCGTCTTCGAATTATGAAGAAACGGCTTCTATCGCCGAAGCTTACGTTAATTGACACAATAGACAAAATCCTACCACGCAGATGCGCTGACTACAAATCGACCAGATTGACAGCAGCTATTTTCGACAAAACAGCAACAGCAGCAGTCGAAAATGGTCGTCACAGAATGAGATAGAGTGTTTCTTGAGACGAAATTATCCACGGAAACGCGCGTCGCGATTGAGATTGATCCTAGGTGAGATCTTCATCTTCATCGTCACTGGGACCACCCGTAGGACAGCACAATCCTTCGGAACCATCACTCCTGATGCAAAATAGCAATGTCTCAGCCACTGTCACTTCATGCGGCATAATTCCGTGGAATTCTTTCAAGTCTGCCGCGGGGAACCAGGCCTTTTCGTTGTCATCAATGATGAGAATTCCAAAATATCTGGAAAGGATCATTGAAAATTGATAAATTGCATATAAAGTAAAATATAGTATTAATCAATATTAATATTATAATGTTACAATAAATGTTATTTATTAATTAATATATAATAATTAATATAATATAATATTAAAAGAGCTGTATTAATTATGTTAGTATTAAGCAGTAAGAATATTAATACCAACCTGCAAATAGCAACTGCGGGTATCCATAAAACGGAAGTAAGAATAAGAATAGCAATGAGCACTAAAGCCCAAACAGGCCATTCCTGTCTTTCCGTAATGCCTTTACTCGCCACCCAGGCTGGATAACCGCTTCCTTCGAAAAATATTTCGACAAAAGATGCAATTAGAATACTCAACATCGCCAATGGACTAAGATACTTCCAACATATTAACCAATAGAGGCCAGGACGATTGCCGGTCATCAATTCAATATCGTCAGCGAATCTGGAATCATCGCAATTACAAAATATTTATACCAATAAACACATCTTTGATCCTGAAACTTATGTATGTACTTACCTCTTCAAACCGTAGACATAGGACACTCCTATACATTCGAAGAATGCAATTATGAGCAATGGAAAATTGCCGCTGAAGCTATCGAATAGCACGAAGACGTAACTGCCAGCTCCATGAGCAAAGGCCATAGAGATCATACAGCATACCAAACAAATAACACCTGATATAAAATCAAATTTATTTTAATCTCTAAAACTTTTTGAATAAATTTCATTCTAAAAAGTGAAAGTCTCACTCTTAAAAATTGAAAATTAAACCACTCTTTCAAAACTAGCTTTTTTCAGTTTTCTCTCTTTAGAGTGAGATTTCACTCCAAAGAATTTAAAGAGTATCCATTACTTCTTTCGCTATTCTTTTCACTATTGCAAAAAGTACCTGTTAAAATCTCTTTTCTTAAATTCGGGAAGAGTTTCATATCGACGATGCTAGTAACAACACCTTCCAAAGTACCAAATTGGGAATCGATTCCTAAGGTGAATAGCATCAGGAAAAACAATACAGACCAGAACTGAGCACCAGGAAACTGATTGATCGCTTCGGTGAAGATGATGAATGCCAAGCCTGTACCTGACGCCGACTGTAATCATTGTAATCGTTACGTAATTAAGCTATTTCTCCGATTACAATCGCGCTAAAAAATTAATCCCGTACAACCTACGAATACATCTCTCTGCGCAGATTCTCTGAAAAGAGGAACTTTTGAGGCGAACGTACACACACATAATGGAAGGATAAGGTGAGCCATTCCCGTGGATGCGCAGTAGTCTAAAAGTAGTGAAGAGCTGACAGTCAATCACATTTGAACCAAATTATAGAATTCAATATGGTGATGACATGTTTGTTTATTGTTATTGTGAGTGCGCGAATTAGTAATGGTGAAATTTTGTATGCAAAATTATGTCAATTGTCGCATAAAAAATTGCAAAAATCATGCTTCTACTGCCTTCTTCAAGAATGTAATATTCTATTCAAATTATTATTAAGACAGAGCGATTATTGGTAAGCGTTTAAAATTCGCGTGCTTAATTTGGTTCACATTTGATTGATCGTCCCCCACTCTTTTCCGTCATTATGTGCAATAGTTCACATTAGATGCGTTCGGCAATGTATTGGGTCATCCAAAAAGTATCCGCGGGTTTTTGTCACTAGATATGTGTTGATGGTCATATATCTAGCGACAAAGTACCGCGGATACTTTTTAGATGACCCAATAAATTTGAGATATGAGCTAGCAGATGGCGAGTTTGATTACGTGATCTTCGAGCAATCTGAGTACCAAGAATTAATTCCGAATGCTACTCCGAACTGTAAACTGTTCTTTAAAGTTATATTATAAAATGAAATTGTTTATTTTTATGAATAAATAAAAAATACCTTAATTGACAATTTCTTTCGCTTTATTAAAAACTGATAATGGTCTTATACTAAAAATAGATCGTTACACATAAATGTAGCAGACTCATATGCAAGGTGTTTTCTAAAAAAAAAACATTACATTGCAAAATAAATTTCAGCAATTTATAAGTTATATCACTAGATTTATATTCGTTAGAAATAATAGAAATAATATATTCTTTAATATATTAATGCAATTTGATTTTATTTCTATATGTACAACATAAGCTTTGATCTAATTAGCAAATTCTTTGTTTTCAAATACATAACTTCAAATTCATAAAGAGGAAAAGAATTAAAAACTTACTTTCCTCATTAAATATTGTACATAATATGTTCCAATTTCTATTTGATAGCATTTGTTTGAGCGTTTGTAGACTCAGATATTATAACAGTTCAAATACACTATTTGTAAAATAAAAGAGGTGAATGTACGTTATGTGTTAACGAATCAGTTGGATTCATTATCATAAATATACAGGTTATGAATTTAATTTAGACGTGAAAATCTGCATTAGCTCTGCGAGCTCAGTCTTTGAATCCAGAGTGGATCTAGGTAGCTCGATTGGCTCTAGAAATGTTAATACCGAACGCAGATGAGATGACATCTAGCAAAAAGATGTGAGTTGCCGAACGATTTTCGAGATAGAAGAGCAAACGGACGCCAATTTGCAATTCCGAACGCACCTCTTATATTCTTCCCATGCACACACGCATAAATGTCATATCTGTGTATACAAACACTAGTCCACACTAAAGACAGTTGAAATGTGGCAACTAGTGTATTCGATGAATGCACCTAATATTCGAATAATGAATAAAAAATAAATGAAAATACTCATTCGAATACATTTCTTTTTTATTCGTTAAGAAACGAAGAAATATTTTTTCATTCCATTTGAATGAATATTTTTTGAATATGATTACAAATATTTTCATTTCGTATTCACTTTTATCCTGTATTATCTGCACATAGCAATTTGCAAGCCTACAAGAGAAAACAGAAATCTATAAAAATAATAGCTATGATTACATCGTGCGCTTAGTCCGCGACTTACGATGGACGTTCTTGTTTAACTTATAGATTAAACAAAGACATTTTTATTGAGAATAAATAATATATCTTGGAATTTAATGTCCACAGACTATAATGAATGTCGCGCAAGATATCCTAAAATATTTATAACATTACTGTCATATAACCGAAATTATATTGAAATATGTATGGCGCTTTATCAAATAGATAGATTTATAAATAAAAAATGTATACTTTTCTAAAATATTTTTCAAAATTTTTAAGTTTCCTTTATAAAATGTGAATATAACAATGACAAAAATAAATAAAATTCATTTTTTTTACTTAAAGTCATCAAAGTATCGGTTATAGTTAAGAGGTAACGATTGCTTATTGGAGCTTTCTTTTTCAGTTTATATTTTGTTTGAATGAATACTCACTAAATATTCATAGTTTTTTGGTGAATAAATATTTTTTGGAAACTCAAAATTTTGAATGAATATATGATTACATTTTTTTATATGAAAATTTTGAATAAATATAATTTGGAGCTTAATTACAAATTTTTGTATTTATCAGGCATATTAGTGACAACAGCATATCCTTGGGTGCGTTCCGAGTTATGCATGAAGCGCATGATGTATTGTTTTATCCTTTTTTATTAATTGATAAACAACAAAGACAAATGATGCATCCCTTGGAGTGCGTTCCAAAACTTAACTCTGTCAACTCCGAGTATCCTTTATCTTTATTCAACATTTGATGATCAACAAGGATAAAATAATACTCATGTTGAGAGAGTTGAATTTTGGAACGCAATCTTATCTCGGCGTGCGAGAAGGAGAATTCCATTAAACTACAGTTTTAAATTACTCTAATTCAGAAACGGCACTGCTAGGCCTCCCCATTTTTTTTATAAGGTTTCTATAATATTTCTACATTATATTGGGTCATCTGAAAAGTATCCGCGATTTTTTGTCACTAGATGTGTGTTGATTGTCATATATCTAGTGACAAAGTACCGCGGATACTTTTTAGATGACCCAATATATTTATTTTTTTTTAAATCTGTAGAAGTTTCGCAAAATATTAAAACGTTACTTCGGCAAAGCTTGGTATAAGGCCGGAATCAGACTATGTATTAAAGATTGAAATTTCCAACAAGAATAAAGAAGTTTTGGCTTCTTTTGTTCTGATTGGTCAAACTTCAATCTTTCAATCTTTAATCTTATTCTTTAATGCATAGTCTGATTCCAGCCTAAGAGTTTATATGTTAAAAGCTGAAACTTTAAAAGTGAATATTTCCATTTCGGCACCGTTAAAGTCCTTAAAATTTTAATTATATGTAGAGAAAATTATTTCAAACATAATATCCAAATTTCAAAAAAATTTGTAGAAACTCAATTTCTCGGAGAAATACCTTAACGTTGCTTTAAAAGTCGCTTTTATACTCACGTTATCTAACTCCTTCTCTAAATCGCATTCGGGCAGTTCTGGCATTATCAAATTATCTAGTGATCCATTTCCGTCCGTAATATTCAGCAGCGTGCCGGCAATCGGGATGTCTTCAGGTATTTTATCGACATGACCGAATATACTTATTAACGTGTTATTCTTTTCCGATAAGCATTGTTCGTAAACCATGGTAGCCTTAAATCCTGTTCAAACAGGATCGAAAGTGTACTCTTTAAATTCTTTAGAATGGAATTTCACTTTAAAGAGTGAAAATTGAGCCAATCTTGAAAAAAATGGCTCAATTTTGAATCTTTAAGAGTGACATTCTCATTAAAAGTTTTAATAGAAAAAGTATAGAAATTAGAAATTTCCAGGGGAAAAAATCACACGTACCTATGATCGAAAAGACGACGATTCCCGCGAACATAGACGTGAAGCAATTCGTCAGACTGACCATGATGGCGTCACGGTAACAGTTATTATTCACTGGGTTGTACGAAGAGAACGCTATTAAACCGCCGAAAGCTAGACCTAAGGAGAAAAAGATTTGCGTTCCAGCCTCCAGCCAAACTACAGGATCGGTCAACGTCCACCACTATGCAAAAGTGAATCAATAGTTACTTAAACTTTGTTTATAATAATTTTAATGTAAAAAATAATTAATAATATTAATGTAAAAAAGAAATTGTGAGAACGCACTTTTGGCGTGAAGAGATGCCGCAGACCATCCGACATACCCGTCAACGTCACGCCTCGGAAGAAGAAAATAATCAGGACAATATATGGAAACGTGGCGGTTACATATACGACCTAAAGAAATCAAATTGATCACTTGAAGAGTTATAATAACTAATTTTGACTGTAAAAGCTCCCGTACTTTGCCTGAAGACGCGATACCCTTAATCATGCACATGTAAACGAGAATCCAAGCAATAATTAGCGCCAGAGCAATTTTCCAATTAAACACTTCCGGCGTATTGATGTCCTTAGATATCATCAGGGTGGTTCGATACCAAAAATATTGCGTAGGACTGCTGACCTATTGACCCAAGTTTCACATTATAAACAAAACCGAACTTAATATGCGCACAAATGCACATAGACAGTGACTTATATTATATCGTATTAAATTTTGGCGTTACCAAACACTCAGGTTCAGGTGCGTAAGATCCATTTTGAAAATACCTATTGGGACACTCTGCCCAAGGTAGTTGCGATTGGAAACTCTTTGAACAGATTTAGATTTCTATGAGTGATTCCGCACGACATGTCAATAACAACAAAATTAAGCAGATCCTAATTATTTACCTGAACGAAATAAAATAGGCACCAGGCGATAATTGTATTGTAGTAAAGAGCCACATTAAAGGAAACTACGGCACTGCTAATTCCGATGCCGCCCATATATGGGGATACCTTTCAAGATACAGTAGAAAACTTATCTTCAAATATTTGCTTCAATTTATTCATTTGAATTTGTTTCTATTCACCTGATTCCAAACTCCAATAGCGCCTTTTCTCAATCTCTGGCCGATTGCCAATTCCAGATAAAATATAGGAATACCCTCGATAGCCAGCATCACGAAATAAGGGATCAGAAAAGCGCCTACAAATATAAAAACGCGTGCTTAGAATTGTATGAGAAAGAACTTGAGTAATCTGTACAAAGCAAACACACCTCCGCCGTTCTTCTGAGCTAGATAAGGGAATCGCCATACGTTTCCAAGGCCCACTGCATATCCTACAGTCGCCAGGAGAAATGTGAGCTTACTATCCCAATTTTCACGCTCATCTTCGCCTGCTTCCGGTCGAAAAGTCGCCTTGCCATCATTGTTGCCGGGACCGTTTCCTATTTTACTCTGTGAATTGAAGCCAAATTCATTTCATTTCATTTGAAATTTATTTATTATTTGTCTTTTGCAGAAAGATGATCATAAATAGCCATGTTACCTTATTAGGACTGGTGTCTTCGAAGGCCGCATTAGTGGCCCCGTAATTGGCAGTAACGACGTTCTTCCGATTATCCACCACTAATCTACCACGCATCTCTTTCATCTCGAGTTTATCGATACTTTTCTGGGGCTTTAGATCGCGGGAACTTTGCCGGCGAACGAGATGAGCCGTGTTCGCCATATCTTCTCCCTTTTCGTTTTAGTCTTTTTTTAAGTCAAATTTCTATTAAACGAAAAGATCTAAGCGCTTCATCCTGTCAAGAAAATAATTGAAATGGTTTATTAATAAAAAGATGGAGACACTAAACAAAGTGGCCAACAAAAATCATGTATAAAAAAATTATAAATTTTCCTAAAAAGAAAAATAAATGTTTGTGATAATTATAAATTAATACAAAATCAATATAATATGATATTATAATATTATAATATATAAACATATATTATTATATAATAACTATAAAAGGAGAAATTATATTAAAATTGAATAATTACGGTCGATAATGCGCTATTTGTGTCGTTACAATACATGTTTGCGCGAATTTAGTTTGTTGTTTAATTGTGGCCAACATTAATTCTTTCATACAGAAATTGTCCATATACAATATATATATATATTGTATATGGACAATTTCTGTATGAAAGAATTAATATTGGCCACAATTAAACAACAAACTAAATTACACACACACGCACGCGCTCGCGCGCACACACACACACACACACACACACACACACACACACACACACTTATAGATTCAACTTATATTGATATGTATAATACATATATATAAACATATATATGTATATACATGTACATATACTTTCACATAGGTGTCAATCTCAATCAAGTGCACATATACTTTTCAAATACACACGTGCCCTTCTTACATAAATGTGCATATATATACAAAAAAATTGATTGAGAACTTTAAACTGGAAATTGATTTTTGCCTAACGTAGATGCACGTTCTAACACGCGTGCACAGGCGCAAGTTTTATTAAATTTTCTACGCATATTTGTAAAAGAGAGAAAGATTCACTTTTAATAAAATAAATATGCATATATATAGGGCCTTTCAATGCATGTGTAAAACGTCGTATGCGAGTCTTCCACTTCACTGTATGTATTAATGATTGACATAAAAAATCTGAATTCCTTTCCTCACATAAATGCCGAGGCGGCTTTATTTGGACGTACGTACATGTCCGTCACGAGAGAGACATTGCGCGGAATTGTTCCGGTTCGCTCGTTTTTCCGTCGCGAAGCAGAAACCAAAGAAGTAAAATCCTTTTACCCACCTGCCGGAACCAAAGGGGGAAACGCGCGAAGACCTTGTCCGCGGTTGAGGAGCGGTTCGCCACTGGTGACACTCCACTGGTGTGTGTGATAGTAACTTTTGAAACTACGGATATATCCAAGAGAATCAATAGCTGGCGTCGGCGCCTGCGACGCCTCTCTTTCGCCCGCGACTCTCTCGCGGAACAAGAAACCGCGCGCGAGCACTTCTCCGAGAGGAAAACACTAGGGGTAGGGAGAGAGAGCGAAAAACGGGTCAATTTATCGCCATGCTGGAAATTAACGCGTAAATCGTGATTTTATACAGTCAAAATAAATATTAGGAATGTACCGGATATCCGAGAAATATCCAATATTTGGTATTATCCGGTACTTTTTTACTATCTGGTCGGATAGTCGGATATCATGTATCCGGTAATATATACATCCGGCTGAAATCTTATATTAAAAATCTTATATTGAATTTTGCGTCATTGATGCAAAATTTTTATTCTGTCTAATGCTAAATCTCATTTTTTTGAAAATCATATACCAGATATCTGACCGGATATCCGAGAAAATATCCGGATAATTGCTCTATCAGATATCCTAATCAGAAAAAAATGTGATTCACCGGATATTCAATATTCGGTAATATTTAATGATCTGGTACAGTGTTACGTCCGGAGCGAGAGAAATGGCTGAGAGAGCACTGTTTAGACAAGCGGTGAAACAAGCGGGCACTTTCAGAATTCTGATCAAATTCATAAATACTAAAGAATATTGACAACTCCCGTTTATTATAATAACACCCTAAAAAAAAAAAGATAACCTGAGATAACGGTCTGGAGAGCTAAATAAATGGAAGAAACACATGAACACATATATCTTGTATTTTATTATAAAAAAAAGAAAGGTTTCCCAAATTCGATGTTTTAATTAACAAATTGGGACAGATAATAAAGGGATGAAACATTAAGTCGAATTGATGATTTAATCGTTAACCATTTCTGTTTTTGAGCGATTCATTCTATTCCGATTGTATTTCATTTTCCTAAATATTCGTTTGAAATAAAAAATAAAAAGAGAATAAATTGTGTATTTGTGCTCGAAATCCACTCTCGTTCTTATTAAGTTTCATTTTGAATTTCCTTTTTCTTTTCCTTTACATATTCGAGTGTTAATTTAACATAATGTGACTATGTATTTACAGGTTTTGCGTGAAATTGATGTTCAAAGGTTCTTGCAATTAAAAATGATACTATTTATGAATAAGCGAACAAGTAACATAAAAACAATATATTTTAAACGTAACGACTGGATGAAATACGTGTTAATTTAACACTTCGTGAATGTTAATTTTCTCGGGAGAGAAGAGAATAAAAAGGAGAAATATACTTCCACAGTTTATTTACAAATTGTAGTGATATTATCCTTTTTCTTTTGTATATCTATTTTCTTACATAATATTTATGTAACCTTTTGAAATATCTTACTTTAAATTAATCCAAAAATTCGAATGGGCCGTTTGGAGCATGCGATTTATGTTAATTTGTTGCAATTAGTATTTATATTATTTTATAATCAAAGGCTACGAGTCGCAACTAGATAACGAACGTTGGAAATCAATTAAATATTTAATGATTAAATTAGAAGTACAAAAAATAAATATAATAACATAATTATACATTTCAATCCCAATCGAGTCATCCTCAGTGTACAATTTAATAAAACTAAACAACTTGCGATTTAATCGTCGATATCAATATAACAGTTCTATCACATATTCCTATTCGAAATTTTTGCGATATTAAGGCGATTTTACTATTCCCCCTCGAATATTTTCCATATTATATCCATATCCCTAATGTTGTTCTTCCTTCTCCATCTTTGATTGTTGCAGACAGTAACGCAATTCAAATTCACTCATTGCAATTTCAAGATTAAAAGCATTCTCAATATTTTTAATTGTATTTCCAAATTGCAATAAGTTCACAATCACCGAAATATTAAAACTGAATAATTATATCATTATCAGTATGTCATTTTCAAATGATTTAATAAACAAATTGTTAAAATGTTAAAATTTTAAATTGTTAAACAAATTGTTAAACAAATTGTTTGTTAAAATGTTAAAATACGAAGCGCCACTACGATCTGAATGTTAAGATGTTGAACTATTATATATTATATATTCATTTAAATGAATTAATTTCATTAATTTCAGAAATGATAATTGCGTGCCGATATGGTTGTCGGACTTTCAACGCAATCAATCTGAAATATTAATAATCCCCTCAAATTTCCCAAATTTAATCTTAAAAAACTGTAATAAACTTATTGTGAAAAATATTGCCTCGACCGGGAGTCGAACCCGAAAGTCCGACCATATCGGCACGCAATTATAATTTCTGAAATTAATTCATTTTAATAAATAATAATTTAATATATAATAATTCAACATCTTAACATTAAGATGGTAGTAGCGCTTCGTATTTAAAGTAATGTATCTAACATAAACGATCTTATTTTCAATCTTATTGTTTATACACGCTCTCCTGCAATGCGTAACTCTCTACATATCGGTATATATATATATATACACACATTCAGTATTTATATTTATATTGTTGAAACATTTCTTAAGACTGGGAAGTATTCTATTATTGAGTCATCTCTTAATCACAATTACCATAATTATGAAATATTAATCAATCGTTCATATAATATAATTTACATAAAATCAAAATTTAGAAAATGTTCTATTATTAAATCATTTCTTAATCACAATTACAAAATATTAATCACATTAATAAATAATAATAAGACTGTAAGTATAAAACAATGTATTATAGTACAAAAGAAGGGCAAAGAGCCAGTAATGTAGCAAAGAATTTTAATTTAAATTAAAATTAAAAATTCATATAACAATTACAATTGACAAAAACAAACGTTTCGATTCCGATCGAGTCATTTTCAATGTTATCGTAATATTTAAACATCGTTCAAAACCAAAAATATATACATGATATTACAATACTATTATAATTTAATCCCGTATTTTTCATTTCGTATAGTACGCTACGAATCATTTTTAAAAAATCAAAGTAGTCATAAAACAATATTCTGAAAAAGTGACCGTGAACAAGAAAAATATTAGGTGTACAAATAAGTTTCCGCCTTTTGACAAAAGACTGCGCCACTAGCAAGCTATGGTTAAAATTGTCTGATGTGAAACATTATATCGTAAGGTTGGACATCTATCAACAATATAACCTTGAAATACTAGCGATTTTGTATCAGCATCATATATTTTTTTTGTGCAAAAATGCCGAATTTTGAATCGAATAAGCGTCATTTGCGGGAACTTTTGATTTACTTCTTTAATTTGAAGAAATCTGCAGCTGAGGCTCATCGATTGCTTGTAGAAGCATATCACCATATGGTGAGGCTGCCTTAAGTGAGAGAAGTTGTCGTGAATAGTTTCAAAAATTTAAGAACGGTGAATTTGACGTCAAAGACAAAGAACGTAGCGGAAGGCCGAAAGTGTACGAAGACGCGGAATTGGAAGCATTATTGAATGAAGATTCGTGTCAAACGCAAAAAGAACTTGCACTTACATTTTGACTTACATCAATAAAACATTATGTATCGTTCTTTCACAATAAATGCTTAATTTTTGATTAAAAACGGCGGAAACTTATTTGTACACCTAATAATATTTAATACATACAAATTAGTAATAATAATGTACCTTGTCAGTAATATCAGTAAATGTGTTGAGAGTCCATTAATAAAAAGAGAGAAAAAAATGTAGATAGATGATAGTCCATATCGTGGTACGTATACAATATTGATTTTTTTATTTTAAACAAATTTGCAAAAGTAACGAACATCTAACTTTCATGATATCAGATAATGAAATGTCGAGAAGAAAAATATTTTTTTCGGAAAAACGGCAAAACAGGCGGGAAAAGGAAAGAAGATATTAGAAGGGAGAAAGAGAATGTATAATGTTAGAATACAATTCAGGCAAAGACTCTGTGTCGTTTTGTCTGTTTATTCTATATTTCTGTTTTTTAATATGAATCATTTCAGATATTAACCTTTTATTGTATGAAGACTCTAATATGTCCACTTTATCACATTTAAAGTTGTGATTGATTCTCCTCAATACGGTGGTTGGAGATCACGGTGATAGAGATTTTGAATTTATATTAATATCTGAAACATGTTCATGCAGTCTTTAATTGTTTTTTTTTGTCTGGTCAACATAACTATCATCACAATCCTCACAAGATATTCTGTAAACTACATTTTGATTATGAAAATGTTCTACTTATCTTTTCCTCTCTTCATGAAATTTTTTAATATGTTAGGAATGATAAAAGCCAATTTACAATTAAACATATTAACGATAGGTATGAATTTTTCAGATATTATATGGAATAGTAAAAAATCTTTCTATGTCATCCTTGTTATTATTCAAACTATTAATATTGTTAATATGATATTTAATACTATTATGAATAGTTGAGAAAATAAAATGTAAAGGATATCCATTCTGTAAAAAAATATTAATAAGAACAATCAAATTATTGGAACTTCGGATGACACAAATGAAAAATCAAATGAATTATCCACAACTCCATAAATTATACCTCTTTTATAACAAAGTGGATGTAAATAGAAATTAAGGAATCTACCAGAAAAAGTTGCTTTACGATATACATCGAAAATAAGATTCCGTTCTTCAATAATCAACCTGATATCCAAAAAATTTATTTCTCCGTCAATGCCAATCTCCATAGTGAACTGCAGTCTAGTGTGCAACGAATTAAAGATACCCAAAATATTACCAATACTCTCAGGCGGAGCAGCCAAAATAATATCGTCAACATATCGATAATAAAATAACAATCGAACGGGCAGCATTTCGATAGCAATTTTTTCAAAGTCCTGCATATTTGCAACAACAGGTGACAAGGGTGATCCCATAAGAGTCCCAAATATTTGTTTGTACATTTTTTTATTAAAGATAAAAACAGTAGAATTCAAAACCATCCGAAAGGCAATCAAAAATTCATCTAAAAGAATTTTTGTTTTCTTAGATATGGAATCCCACCTTCTAACAACACTATCAGATGCCAAATCTATAGGTATATTAGTAAATAGGGATACCACATTCAAGGAAATCAACATAAAAATCATCTGATTTTAGTTTGACATCTTTAAGTTTATTAATTAAATCAAAACTATTCTTTATAAAACTAGGAGCTTCTGGTATGGAATCGTTAATGATATTATGCAGAAATAATGATAAATTATAT